TACGGGGGAACTAAGCCAGATTTAAAACACTCAGGATGCCTTGTAAGAAATTATTAAAAATCGGTTTGCCTCATGAATCTGGAAGCCCGGAGCCCACCAGAGCTTCCCTAGCAACAGGCCCTTTCCTGGGCCTGACTGGGTGTCAGTATTGCTAAGAGGGTGGAGCTTAAGTGTTCTCACCCCATGGGAAGCAATGGCACCTCTGTGAGGTGATGGATGTGCTACGCAGCTCCATCTGGTGGTCATTCACCACGTGTGCTTCTATCAAAATAGCAAGCTGTCTGCATTAAACATGCAATCCCCATTTTCAGTTACACCCCATTCGTGCTGACAAAGGAAAACCAACTGGAAAACCGAAATATCTGAGCAGGAATCAACTAGAAACCAAACACGAGAGAGAATGTACAGAGTCAAATGGTGCTTCTGAAAATATGCACTAAAATGGATAAACACACGGAAAGAACAGTGAAGAGAGTGCCAGCCACACAGACACAATGAGGAAACGGAGCCAAATCTATGAACATGACCTTGTGAGGCGTATGGACACGGCCAGTGCCTAACTAAGGTTACCGAGACATAGGGTCAACCAATGGGACCGCCATTCTCAACAGGGCTTGTTGGGAGGTGGGAATTTCCCAGATCACAGCACAGGAAGGGAAAGACCCAGAGAGGAAAGTCCCCTGGAATGGGGGGTAGAGCTCTACAAACCTGCACAGTGATCCTAGATTCTTTGGTGAGTACATCCCCCTGGAGTGGAGCGCGGAACCCCCTGAGAATGGGCGGAGCACAACTACCAGAGGAAAGAGCTGCCAGGAAACAACCAATTCCAAGATCCCAGGGCACACCCAGCACCGGAAACATTCAGATTAATCAGTCACATGGGAACAGGTCTTAAACACCAATCACTTAATAGAGAGACTAGAAGAGGCCTCCTTCATCCAGACCCTGAATAAACTTTTCTGTGGAAAGGCTCCCACACCAGCCTTTACATTGACAAACCTTACAATTGCCTTATTCATTGACAAACAAGCCTTGACTAGATCACGTTGAGCAGAACCTAGACTTCCAACACAGAACATCAAGCCAGTAGGACCCGGGGTCCCCAACCTCAAACGCCCAAGAGGAGCACTCTGGGAGGAGTCACTCGGGGTGAAGTTG